GATTTGAGGCAGCCTACATCCACAGGAGATCTGTGGTTAGTTTTTCAAGGTGTTTGGAACAATCTCCCTTCTGAGTTCCTTCAAAAACTGTGTGCAAGTGTACCTAGAAGAATTGATGCTGTTTTGAAGGAAAGGGTAGTCACACCAAATTTTGATTTGATTTCGATTTCTCTTCTGGTCACTCACTTTGCATTTTGTAAATTTATAAACATAAACAACTACAATATATATTTTTGAAAACATTCTTACTTTACAGCATTTTTTCACACTTGCCTAAAACTTTTGCACAGTACTGTAGGTACTTCAGAGATAATTACAAAGAAGTAGTCATTTTTCCATAGCTGATAATAACATAACATTTGACATTCTCCTAATACCATGCAGACAGATTTTATTCATAATATTAATAGAATCATAGGATTGTAGAAGAGACTCATTTATGCCAGTCCTCTGTAATGTACAGGAAAACCACTTAAACCATCTGTGAGAGGTGGTTTTCCAGCCTCTTCTTAAAAACCTGCAAAGATGGAGGACCTCCAATCTCTATTTTGGTGATATTTAATTGAACTACATTAGAATTGAGATTTTTATTGGAAGAAAGTAGCATCTAGAGAGAAAATTGTTTAGAAGACAGAAGGCTCTGGTCCTTTTTCTTCTGACTGAGAGCCTTCCATGTGGAAGTGCTGACCCAGTAAATGAGTGAAGTGATTTGCTGTTGACCAGATAATGGTATACTGGAAGCCTGCAACTACAAATTGTTTTAATTTATCCCTGTACAAGTGACATTGTATTCATGGATACAGAAATATTGTTTCAAGGCAGTGAAACAATGTATTACTGACTTGTGCTTGATGGGTCTCTGTCCCCATTTGAGGGATTTCTGGCTTGCATTACTACGCAACTCCTAGCAACATGTTGGAATAATTAAGATAAAAGAGCCTGAATGCAGAATTACCATCATGCCAGCATTAGTAATTTGGAAGACAATGGAGATCTGCCACCATGACCATCAAAGAAATAGCTATTATTTTATTTTTATGAAGAGGGGAAAGAGATGTGTATTTAAGCATGGAACTACAAAGGTGGGATAAGATATCCTGTTAATGGCCAGCAAGAAAGTACTGACTGTTGACCACACTCTGGATTCAGCTGTAGGCCAGAAACGATAAGCCACAACTGGCTGACAGTTCCCTGTGAGTGCTAGACTTGGAAACTTATAAATGTGCCCTTATTAATAACATCCTGATATCTGAATAGATCTGAAAGTATTCATTTCAGCCCACATTTATTTTGTGCACATTTCATATTGGATTTGGTATGCTGAATTCAGAAGTTTTGGAAAACAAAGGCTGGTTGTCTGGAAAAGCCTAGTAGAAGTATCTTGCACTCTATTTTTCTTCCTGACTGATCGTGGCCCATTTTCTTATTATTTTTTTCAATTGTGAAACCACAAACTTTGAACACAACGCTCAGAAAAGTTTGCTCATTTTGTTTGAAAGCCTCCTTTTGCTTAATGTAACGTAGATGTAATGCTTCTGAACCTCAACTGTGATCAAAAGATCAGGATCTGTCTGCGGACACACATTTCCTTCCTCAGTTCTCTCGTTTTCTGTGCAAATTTCCCTAGTCTTCCTCTAATGTGTTGAAGGATAGATAAAAAACATGGACACAAACTTGATTCCTAGGCAACAAAATGGATGAGAAAATGTAACTGTTATAAATAATGGTTAGGTTTGCTGCCTTCCAGATGTTTCAGGATTGCAGTTTCTAAAATTCCAGACAAGCAGTTGAGAAGACCAAGAGGAACTGATGGTCAGGAGAGACAAACCTGGTAAAAGACAGAGACAGAGCATGACTCCATAGCAAGCTTCTGATCTCTTAACCATTTATGTCAAGTTAGCCCAGAAAGCAAAAGTGTAACTCTATCTGAGATTTAAGCTTCATTAGTTCAAATACATTAGTATTAATTTAGATATTTGTATTTATATTTCAATTCATACCTCATCTTTTTAATTTATGCAGCATTCCTGTAATTACATTATTAGGAATATTTCGTAAGTGATTTGTCTTACTCAATTCTATTGAGCCATGCTGTTTTCTTTCTATAGCCCGGGTTCCCACAATATGCTAAGCCATAATGTGATTTCTAAACCATGGTTCATGAGTTTTCAGGTCCATGGTTAAAGAAATAATAGGCTTATGCAATGTGTGATCAGGTGTACAGTATGTTAATACATTTTCAAGTGGGACCACAGCACAGCATCAGAATGAAATTTTATCATCCAGTCTGTTCAGGTATTATATTAAATGGCAAGACCCTTTCTATCTTGTTGGTCAGTATTCCTGGATAATCAGCGTGCCCAGTCCTCCTGATTTGGGTTTAATGTAGGGTTTGGAATTTCTAATTTCTAATTAGAAATTTCAGGATTCTTGTCAAGATGCTGATACTCTTGTCTAGTTTTTCAGTGCCTCCTTTTAGATGCAGTCTTGTTGGCATTTACTAGCACAGTTTATACTGAAACTCCTGGCATGAAGAAAATAACACATCTGAACAAAGTATTGCAGTAATTCTTTTTAACAACTTTATCTTTACATTTTCAAATATCTTTAAAAAGCTGTTTGAAACTACATTTATGCTGCTTTGTTCTGGGTTTGCTTCCTTTTATTCTGCAGTAGTTCCCCTTACAAGGTGGAAAATATGCTAAAAGACAGCAATAACAAAACAGTAAGTTTGGGTTTGGAAACCAAGAGCAGCAATTCTATTGCAGGAAGATCTGAGCTGAAAAAAATCTGTTTTGTTTGAGATAAAGCCCTTTTCCACCCCCTCCCTTCTATCACTTCTAATTTTCACACTGTTTGTGAGCTATTGCGTGCTGATTTAAGAATGCCCATATGGTGCAAAAGAAAATATTTCTGTTCCACAGATTGTCTTCTATTTTCACAATGACTCTGAAGTAAGGATAACTCCAGGCCATGTACATAGACAACTTTGTGCTACAGCTTCTCTTGATGCTGATGATGGACAACTTATGGGCACATGGTAAGAGACATTACTAAGAAGATTATTCTTCAGAATAACATCAATATGGTCATGAATGTTCTTTCTAGATGTTGCATAAGGACTCTAGTCATCTGGAAAACTACAGCTGTAGTTAAATGAATATATAAGGCAAAGATATGGGCTTGATAACCTCCACCCATATCTCATTAAAGTTTTAATTTTGTTAGACATGTTATTTATGACCAAGTTATTAACTTTCACAGGACAAAAAGCAACATGGAAGACTTTTTTCAGTTCTACTCTGTGTTTGAATAGTATAGATACACAATTATGTGTACTTCCTCAAGGTAAATCCAGCTGTTTAGAATTTAGCTTCCTATCAAGTAGGTTTGCACAACCTAGTTGTTTTATTTAACTAGAAACATGTGCACTTTATCAGTAAAATGTTACTGATTGTAACATGAGTCAATGAATTAAAAAGCAGTCTGGACTTTAATTTGTGAAATGTACAAAAACAGTTTACATTTATCTTTTTTTTAAAAAAATGCAAGTATTTGTTTATCGTATTGTGTGTCTGTGTTTTCATACATACACATATGTGCACACAGGTGTAGATAGTACAAAAACAGAGAAGATCAAATGCAAACATGAAATGTATATTATGAAAACAAGTTTATAGAATTAAGCTTTGCATTTTACAAATCATCACAGGGGAAATGAGGAAGTTGCACAGGTTTAGAAAACTTTGGATATAAATACTAATGATTTTAAACTGGCTAAGATGTTTAGGGCATTATGTATCTATTTAAAAAATTTGTAAAATACCATTCATCTTGATTCATACAAAGATAGTATGTAAATGTTTGAGTACCTTGCAAAACAACAATGATTGAAGCTAACAAAGGCAGATTAAAATTGTAAAAATGTATAGATCGTGCAGACGCAACATTGAAAATACTTTGATGAATTATGCAAGTCATAAACTGGACCTGAAAAGATTATAAAAAAGATTATAATGTATATGGAAACGGTGTTCTACAGATGTGGCATCACACTGACAAAACTCTCTCCTTAACAGAGACATTACATATGTCCTCTAAGAAAGGGATTCAAAACATTCATGATATTAAAGCACAGAGAAAAGTTGAATTCAGAATTTGAATGCCAGAATATATTGCTTTAAAAGCTAAATTTATTTCACAAGCAAATAGAGAAACAGGCATTAATAGGTCCAAGTTATCTTCAGGTCCCACATATCTGCAGTTACAGTCATCCATATAGGAGTTAGCAAGATAATGGCTTACTGTGATCCAGCTATCCCTCCATGTGAACCCTATCCAAGAATGGCTGCAATTTACAAAATAGCCAAACCAAGTAAAAGATTCTCCATGCCACTAATTCTAATTGGACCACCAGTAACAAAGGTGGATCAAGGAATTTACTCCTCAAATTCAGAGCGCCCATTTTTCAGACACAGGAAACAACCTTCTGTCAACAGTCAATTTTAGTTTCCTGGTTCTCATTCAGCCCATTAGTAAATTCAACTACTTGTTCAGCATTTGTACAGCTGAATCTAGGACAATTTTTTTTAAAAAACAAAAAAGTTTCACACATCATATTAAGCTATAACTCATGATTTACTAACATAACAAACTGAGCCAATAGCCAAATGAACATATAATGGTTTAGAGTGATGTGTGAATTCAGTCAAAGAAATGAAACTGGATGTTATCTTCTACTGTATATAAATAGCCACTATATACAAACAGGGAGCAAACTCCACACTCACTAGCACTGATGATGTTAGCTAGTCGGGTAATGAAATGTCTGCAAGCAAACAACCAAGCTCAGAGAGCACCAAGGACTCCACATGTTATCTTCTGTCAAAGGGAACAGAAGAAAGTGAGTAATAATATATAAATTTCTGGAGTATTCTTTGTGGCAGTCCCCTGATAATGAACCCTACTGATTCCAATCGTGGACACACAGCCTATGCTTATTAAGGTGAACTAAGTGACTCAGTTCTAATGCTTAAAACAGTCACATCTTTTACAGGGCTTATACATGTACTGTACTTTGAAAGCTATTCCTGGCTGAATCCACTTGCATGTGCAAGCACAACTATTTTCTTTCACTGGCAATCCCAGTGGAAATATTGTCTGGGTAGACACATGCACATGCAACCAGGGACAGCTTTCAGAGCTGCCAATGAGCCTTGCAAATATATAGCTGCTTTAACATCTCACAGAAAAGTGTTTTGTGCCCACTAACATTCATTGTGAAAAACCACTTGGGAATGTTTTGCAGAACCCTACTTTACACCTCCTTCCAGGTGTGTGGGAATTTGGAATAGGGTCTCAAAGGGATGGTGGTAATTCCCATCATGTTCAAACGTCCATGGTTTTTAAAAAATTTTCATGGTTGGTCCTAATCTTAGCTCAGCTTGGGGATCCAAAACTTCATAAGCAAATTTGCAGGAGGTTATAAACCAAGATTGCTGGTCTGGGGGTGAGATATAGGTTGTAGGGCAAGGGAGAGGTAGGTAGACAGTTTCCATGACAAAAAAATTATTAGATTTTTATCCCACCTTTTTAATATGTAACTCAAGGTAACAAACATACCTAATACTCCTGACTCTTCCCCACAATAACAACCTTGTGAAGTGAGTTGGGCTGAGAGAGAGTGACTGGCTCAAAATCACTCAGCTGACTTTCATGCCTAAGGGAAACCTAGAACTCACAGTCTCCTGGTTTCTTCTTAACCACTACACCAAACTGGCTCTCTTGAATTCATGTTTTATTGGCATAGCAGCCAGCCAGGTTCCAGATATTTTTATACCAGCTTCTCTTGCTTTCCATATGGGTTGGCTGGAACTGGATTTACTCCACCAGTCTGTTCTTCACCAAACTGACTCCATCCTCAGATACACACCCTGCTATGAGCCAGACAATGTGGACATCCAGACCTGCTTCTTGGGAAGAGGGCATTCAAAAGTTAATGCAGCATTGCTTGGAACCTGATCCCAAGCCAGCAGCAAAATTGAATTCTGATGGGGGAATGCACACAGATACATTTATCATTGTAGGGAATCATGGCACAACAAAGTTTGAGAATCCCTGGCTTGACCTACATGTGAACATTTTCTCTGACTTGATTGAGGGAGCTTTGCTTCCCTTAAAAGTAATGTGGTCATTTATGACCTGACTTTTGTCCTTTAACTTCTGCTTTTCTTGTCCACATCAAAAGAACAAAAGTTAGTTCTTTGAAATGATTGCTACACTGCATACAGACAGTCCCCTACTTGCGAACTTTCACCGACATGAACAAGATGGACCCTGAAGTCAGAACCGGCAGTCAGAACCAGAAGTTGGGCCAGAAGGTGGGAGAAGGTGAGAAAGGGTTGGTTTGTAGCATGCCACAAACTAACCCTTTCCTGCCTTCTCCTGCCTTCTGTTTTGCACTGGAGGTTTGTATTGGAGTTGGAGTTCCCAGAAAGGGTTAGCTTACACAGTGTGCTCCATTACTGGGTGAGGCAGGATAGGGGGTCGTGTCAGAGGACAGAGGAGAGGATGTGGAGGTCTCCTGCCTCGCCCACCAACAAAGCATGCTGCACCCCACTGGCTTGTCCCTTGGTCCAGGGAGCCACCACCACCTCTCCTGCCTCACTCATCTGGCGACGCATTGGAAGCAGAAGATAGGGCTCTTCTGCCCACACCATTGCCCTGCCTCCTGCTTCCTTCTCTTTTTTTTACTTTTTACTTGGTTGGTTTTTGAACAAAATGGACTTATGAACAGCCTCTTGGAACCTAACCTGTTCATAAGTAGGGGACTGTCTGTATAAGGAATTTAAATGGCAAGAGGAGGGATTATAGTATATAACCCTAAGCCCAGGAACAGGGAGGGGAGTTTTTTTCTCAATTCTTTCCTGCTCCTGATATTTGCCTCTTACTCATATCCTTATCTGCAACACAAATTTAGGTTCTTGTTCCTTTTTTCTCTGCCAAAAAGTTTTTTTCTCCAGCTAAGTTTTGTGCCTCAGTCAATTTCATCTGCTTATTTTGATTATCTCCCATTCTGCCCCTCCCCCTGGCATGGCATTAAGGTTAGAATAATTGATTAATGGTTGACAGTTACCTCTGTGAATGTATGTACCATGCCATAATCACTACAAGGATATCACACCAATCAATTATGTCCATAACAGGCAGACATTTTCAGCCATGTGGTTTTAACACTAGTAGTGGTCAAAAAGGGAACAAGAACCCAAATTTACAGCCCCCCCCCAAATTATTTATATATTTATGAAAAAGTTAGTAAGCTTCATTTGAAATATCAAAAGATAATTATTAGCTTTTGTCTTGCAAATTTCAAGAATACTTCTTATTATGAATATTGACCACTTCCAAAGAAATAATTCCCAAGTCTGAAAAACATGAATTATTGTAACTTTAAATCCACGCTGCCTACGAGCACAAATAAACCACCAAAAGTCCCTCTTCAACTGTTGTAACTTCTTTTTTTTTTACAACTCCAACATTATATTAGTCACTGATAGGTTTTGATTCTCATACCTCAGAACGTGATTTCAGTTCTGCCTTCAAGTAATTGCAGTGACTTTTTAATCACTTTTGCTTTTTCCAGCAACAGCCAGATTTTGCCATACAGTACTATTAGCTCTTGGAATTTATTTAGCAAAGTAACCATCAGAGCCAATCAGGGAGATGAAAAAAAGGAATATTTGGTGCTCTCAAGTTCAAAAGTCGTTTGTTTTTTAACTTACTGTGTCCTTTTTTTCTCAGTTATCTTAGTTTTTTTTTGTTTGCTTGCTTGTTTTTGTTTTTGCTTTTAATGATAGTTGAGAGCCTCAAGCTGGAACTGGCCTGGAATTTCTCAATGTCTGGGGACTTTAAATAACTTGTTGCTATTGGGTCCTATATCTTCTAAGGGAGCACCTCATTAGATTTTCTAATGGTGGAGATGTTAGATTCATCTGTCAAGAAGCCTGTGCTCATAAACCTTGGGTCCTCACTGTGGTATCCTTTTTTTTTTTGAATGAACAAGTTATCCTCATGGCAATACAGACTCAAGGCATGTTTGCAAAATTATAAATATGTCCACCAGCTAATGAAGTCAGTAGTTTATTATCAGTCATGTTTAAAAGCCTATGTGTTCCTACCATTTAAATGAGACTTAATGAAAACATTAATTTATGAATGGGAAAAAAAATCTCCCCCACAAAATGGTGATGAAAGGTATCTGTTAGATATTACGTACATTGCTGCTACTGAGATACATAAGATATGCAAAACATAATTTCCATCTTGCCTTTCTCTCTCAGATTCTGAGGATGATAACTGCACTGCCATTACTATTGAAAGAGGTAAAAAGTACTATACAAATCTTGGTGATTCAGCTACTCTAGAGTGCCCCGTGACCTACTACAGAAAAAAGCCTGAAATGAATTGGTACATGCTGAACAAGAGCGAAGAGAAGTTCCATATTTTGTATCCTGAAAAAAGACGTTCCATTTCATGGATGAATGAAACTACATTTGTTTTGAATTTTCAATCTGTTAATAAAAATGACAGAGGACAATATCGTTGTGATGCTATTATAGGAAAAAGGAAATATGAGAGTCATGTTATAGAATTAATTGTTCAAGGTAAGCTTTCAGACAATATTTATCTGGCTTATTGATTAAAGCTCTTGAACCACCATCCTTGCCACAACATAGTTCAGCAAAATGCCTTGGAGTAGGAGAAGTTATAAACTCTGAAGTTGGGGAGAGACAGACACTAAAATATTAATAGCCCATTCAATCTCCTGATGATTGTCAACTGATCATTTATTCTTGTTATTTTGCCCAAGAAATCAATATTATCATCAACAACAATATGATTATCTAGGCCAGTGTTTCTCAACCTCGGCAAATTTAAGATGTGTGGACTTCAATTTCTCACAGCTGGCTGGGGAATTCTGGGAGTTGAAGTCCACATGTCTTAAAGTGTTTTTTTTTAAGATATTTTATCCCACCTTTATTATTTTTATATAACTCAAGGCGGTGAACGTATCTAATACGCCTTCCTTCTCCTATTTTCCCCACAATAACAACCCTGTGAGGTGAGTTGGGCAGAGAGAGAGAGAGAGAGAGAGAGAGAGAGAGAGAGAGACTGGCTCAAAGTCACCCAGCTGGCTTTCATACCTAAGGCGGGACTAGAACTCACACTCTCCTGGTTTTTAGCCTGGTGCCTTCACCACTAGACCAAGATGGCTCTAGTTGAGAAACACTGATCTAGGCTATACTGAAAAACAATCTATTTTTTCCATATAAATTGAAAGAAGTTGTTTTCATTCTAAATAAGTGACTAATGTAGTTAACCATCCAGATGAGGGCAATAAATTGAAGCTTAAAACAAAATAGACGAAGTTGCTTTTGGAACAAGATGATCAGGGAATAAAAATTCATTCAGTTCAGGATAAAATCACAGTCTGGTTCACAATTTAAGTGTACTTGTTTTAGGCCTGAATGTGAATGTCTAGTTTTTGAGATGTCCGAACCTATGTTCACACAATTAAAAACTGTATCTATTACTTGATATGTTGGACTTGGCTAGTGCGTGCCTTAGTTACATAGTTTTGAACTCTAACTTGAGCTACCTTTGAAAAGTATCTGGAAACTTCAGCTGGTCCAAAAGGCTTGATTGAGACTAGTTGTAGAAAACATAAAAACTGACTTTCAATCCTCTTCCAGGCACAATTTGGAGGAGTAACTATATCTTACAAATCTTGCACAGTTTACGAGCGGACTACTTGAAAGAATTTGCATGGGTTTTAAGATTACTGAGTCAGGCTTTTTCAATGTCTGGCCTTAGCATTTATCAGTACCATCACACAAGGTCTTCCTCATACCTGCTCCAAAGTTTTGGAACTGCTTGACAAAGAAGGACAAATTAGCTCCAACTCTGTTGTTATAATAGCAGGCAAAAATAAGTTTATTGAACCTAGTTTGAGGGATGATTTGTTGTTTTCCATCTTCCAAAAACAGTAGTTTATCCCCAAATGTGAGTGTGTGCGTGCATGTGCATACACACGCCTTCAAGTCAGTATTGACTCCTGGCGATTGCCTGGGCAAGTCCTTGCAGTTTTCTTGGCAAGATTTTGGAAGTGGTTTGCCATTGCCTTCTTCCCAGGGATGAGAGAAGGTGACTGGCCCAAGGTCACCCATCTGGCTTTGTGCTCAGGTTAGAACTAGAACTCCCAGTCTCCCAGTTTCTAGCCTGGTGTTTTAACCACTACACCAAACTAGCTCTTGTTTCCCCAGATACCTATGTTATTTAGTAGGAAATAGGATTATTAATAGCACAATGGCCCAGAGAACAAAAGAACTCTCCATTACTTTCTAGATCTTGAACAGCCTCCATGCCAGCTGTTATTAATATGTTGATAATTTTGTTTTAAGAGAAAAAAATCACAAAGACGAGTTTCACAGCTGAATGTATCATCAAATGTATCATCAAGCATCTATTTTGTTCCTAAATTCTAATTCCTTGTGTTTAACCTTCAGAATTGCTTCTCTGATTGAACTCAATATTTTAGTTTTTTCCATCAAAGCCAAATTTACATGGACTTGGACATTAAGTTTTGGTTTAGTAATGACAATTGACTGTGTTCATACAATATAATACTGTAAACCTAAAAAAGTTACAGTAATAACCATAATGGCTCTATTCACACAGCACTGAGCTTCAGAACTAAGCAAACCACATTGCAACTTGCCCAAGATATACATCCAGGTGATCTATAGTCTGGTCTCTTAATATTTCTTTTTTAAAAACTTAAAAAACAGTTCAAATAACTTTCCTGGCTTTTTAGATTTGCTGAGACTATTAAACCTACAGTGCATTCTGGAACTGCTTTGAACCAAGCAGCAACAAACTGCCTTTATTAAAAATCATGCTATTATTGCTTTGAATGTTAATGAAATTTTGAATGTGTTGTCTGTATAGATCACAGTAACACCTCAGTGTTTCTAAATACTACAAATACTAAAGAAGATCAGAAACCACATGAAAAGAATGAGAAGTTGATTATGATTTATTCCATACCATCCCTCGGTACTCTGTTTCTCATTTTTGCCTGCTTTGGGTGGCTGTATTTCAAGAGGAAGCATCAAGGTGTGTTATTTAAATAATTTCATCCTTTCAATTCTTACTTGGTTCCATGATCAAAGATTTTCCAATCTCTGCCCTTTGCTTTCAAGTCACCTTTTAATTTCTTTTGTATGCTTTCGGAACTATTCATACTTATTTGATGCTTATGAAACCTTAAGTAAAGGCTGTTTATTTCAAATATTAATGTCCTGATTCTCTTCATAGAATCAGGACATTAATATTGAAATAAGCAACCCTTATTTCCCAAATAGTTTTGGTTTACTTAAAATGATACTGAGATATTTCATGATCCCTGTTTTATGAGAAAATATATTCTCATAACAGTTATAAGGTTGTTTTAAAAACATGCTGTCTTTTTCTTCTCAGTAAAAAACGCAACTGGTTCATCAAACCCAGAAAATGGAATTAATAGGGTAGGTCTGTTATTAACTTATCTCTTTAATTTTTGATTCTCATCCATCCCTCTGTGAATGGCACTGCTGATATAGCCAAACAACACTCCCTGTGCATATAGAGAGATATCAGCAGGAAACCCAACAAAATTGTCCAATATCTTGTTCATTAGCCTTAGAATGCTGATGGATTATTGTGGGAGGGGGGGGAGAATAATTGGTGAATTGATGTGTTTCCAAGAGAAAAATATTAAAGAGAAGCAGTCTATATTGAAACATTTCATTGAATATCACACTTTCCTATCTCACATCCAAATGCTTAATACACATAGTTATGTTCTTTCTCTTACAATCTTCTCCTGTCAGACCTTCAAGGTCAGGAAATAGACTCCACAAGAAATACTGGAACTCTACTTTATGTTACAGGCTACAGTAACAGAATCTTGAACATCAAACAGTATGTTCCCTTCCCTCCCTCTTATATAAAAGAGAGTCAAAGTGGGGTCACCTTAAGTTTCTTTCTCACACTCTCTTCCTTTTTGGACTTAATTCTTGTTTTGCTAACTGCCACATTCCTTCTCCCATCTTGGTAGTTCTCTCTACATGTCCCAAATATATACAATATGAAGATAAAGACCTTTACTTCCAGAACCTTATCATTTGTACAATGAATGATTTTTCCATTCATGCACAATTTAAGAAGGTTCAGCCTTTGATTACATAATTTACTAAATTTCTTTCTAAGGATTTATACCATGCCATCAGTGCACAGTACATCTCACTGAATTGTATAAGAGGATTTGCGCTATCAGGTTGCTTGCAGTGTTAACATACTGGGAAAATAGAGAGCCAATTTGGTGTAGTGGTTAAAGCACTGGACTAGAAACCAGGAGACTGTGAGACTGCTTAGGTATGAAACCTGGCTGGGTGACTTTGGGCCAGTCACTCTCTCTCAGCCCAACTTACCTCACAGGGTTGTTGTTGTGGGGAAAATAGGAGAGGAAGGAGTATTAAGTATGTTCCCTGCCTTGAGTCATATAAAAATAATAAAGGCAGGATAAATCAAACAAACAAAAACAAAAACAAATGGAGTGATGGTGGTAGAAGGAAAGATTAAGAGAACTCAACCATTTTCCATTTCTATACACATTGTTT